AACAATTACGTTAATTATTATTGATTATATTATTAAAAATAATAAATTTTAATAATATAATTAATAGTATAATTTATTATTATCATCATCATCATCATCATTATTATTATCATTATCATTATAGAACGAAAATGGCACAAATACCCTTAACCATTATCTTTGAAAAATAAAGGCAAAACGAACATTGCACCATTTGGTGCAAAAAATGGTGTAATGAAAAGCACCACTATTCACTTTGCACCATTTTACACCAAAATAGTGCAAAGTTTGGTGTTGCATTGGAGTAACGTTGCACCAAAAAATGGTACAAAATGGTGCGAAGGTGTTAGGATTGGAGTTGCCCTTACGATCTCTTTCCCTACACTCTTCGATTTTCCTTCTTTTTCTCTGTTGATCATCTTGATCTTCCATGAAATCTTAATCTATGTGCAACCCTTGTCAAAATGCCTTGCTACAGTGTTATTAGGCCTGAAATAGTGGTTATTTGTGTTATGTGGAGTTGTTGAGTACGTGGATTACGATTCTTGAGTAGATTAGGGTTGTGATTTGAGAGATCCTGTTGGATCAATGATGAAACTTTTTTCTGATTTTGAATTTTGTCATTGTACTCTCTCTTGTGGGGTTATTTTGCATCTAGTGACGGGCTAGCCATTGAATCCCTCATATTAGAGTGTTAACCTTTACTGGGTGAACATATATGGTGCCTTTACTGCTTTCTTGTGTGTTTGGTTTAAGTCATTTTCCAAGGTTCTACTAAAATTTCTGTTTCAAAAGTAAACCATACAATGAAGATATATATAAGCTTATCCTTGGTTAAGAAAGCTAAATACGTGATACTCTATATTTTAAAGAGTCAATGTTTAAAAATAAACTTCAAAACACTCTAATTTTATTTTGTAATGTTTTAATATTCTACTATTTAAATTATCCAAATCATATTTGAACTGATTGATCAATGATATATTAAAAAACATGTTAAATAAACTATTAGTGGAGATCAATAGACGTTTCTTGCAAAAAGGCAAAATGAACAGTCAAAATAGATATCTTCGGCAGAGCGTATTACTCTATAAATGGTGTCTCTTGAAGGTGCTCTAGAGTCATTAAACAATCACTCGATAGTAAGGATGGTTGGGCCGTTGGTATGTTGAAAATACAGTATTAAAAACTCAGAAGATTGATTTAACATTTAAGCAATTTATACAAACTAATAATTCGTGTGAAGTTCACACAGCATATTTTCCAGTATCAAGTATTATGATTTCTTGTTCAGAAGCAAGGCGTCATAAAGATAAACAACATAATTCATACTACTAAACAGAGTACACTCAGTTACAAATTCAAGAAACAGAAAATCTTCCTCAGTCTAGCATGGAAAAAAACACCAGCACTGACCAAATTGAGGAGATCGTGTACTTGTCTCAACATATATAAACATAAACACTAGGGTCTCTGCATATGTTAAAAAATCCATTGCAGAGGCTCCAAAATAAACCTGGATTACAACATAAAGATCCTAGAAATAAACCAAAAGTACTGAAAAGCATATGGTATATTATTATGATTATAGTGCTGTCCAGTCTATCTCCACGGAAGGAGATTTCTGCAACATGAAATCGAATTCTTCCAAAGAAGGCTCTGAGAAATCCAGAAAGGTAATATCAGATTCGGGTGAAGCTGATCCCTCATCGGATGGGGAAGGTGATGATGAGGCCTCCACCTTGATGTTATCCTCTAATACCAGGTTCTTAAATCCTCTATTCGATGAATTTTCCATCTTCAGAACACTTGTTTGTTTGGAAATTTCAGCCTTTGCATCAGAATTAGAACAGGGCCTTTCTAAATTCCCCTTTTTCTGCGAATTAGCCAAGCTGTGACATATGGCTTGAAGCTTGGCGTCAACAGAGGAATGCAGGGGCTTGAAGTCGCTGAATTCATGGCATAATTGATGCCTAAGGTCGGGGAAATTTAGTCTTGCAAACTCTCCTCTTAGCTTATAAGCAGCCTTATCATACGCTAAAGCCGCTTCCTCAGCTGTGTCGAAAGTCCCAAGCCAAAGCCTCGTTCTGTTCTTTGGAAGTCTAATCTCCGCCACCCATTTTCCCCAATGCCGCTGCCTCACTCCCCGGTAAAGCTTTGTAGGCTTGGGGGTAACTCCAGCATGCTTCATTGGGACAGGTTTTGGACCAAGAAACCTGGAGAATTGGTTCTGCTTATGCTGCAAATGGTTAAGACAGTAATTCATTTGCTGATTTTGCAATTGCTGCTGCTGGAGTTGGAACTGTGCCTGGATTTGAAGGATCTGAGATGGGGTGAGGAGATTTAGCCCAACAATACTCTCAGTTTGCTCATATCCAAAACTCGAAAACCCCGGAAAAAATTCTTGGGTTTTTGATGGGATTGAGCCAAAACCAGGGTAACTATTGGATTCAGAAGAAAGACACGAGTCATAAGGGAAGTCATTAGAAGAAGGAGGAGAAGAAAGAGGAGGAGGTGAAGAAGAAGAAGAAGAAGAAGAAGAAGAGGTATTTGAAGAAGCACTTTTCATAAATGGTAAAAGTGCTTGCATAAGCTCTTCCCTGTAAGGATCTGGAGAAAAAACTTGACTGCTGCTAGCACTGTACATATCTATAGCTGCCGCCATGATTTCTTATCAAGAAAACACAGAATTCAAATAAAGCAAAAGTAACAAAAATTCAAACTTTCCACACAAAGGAGCAAAGAGGTCTCTCAAATAAACAACCCTTTGTTACCCTTAAAACTATAAACTGAAATCAAGAGAAAATAAACCAACCTGAGGGACTAAAAAAACCAGACCCTCTTAGTTGTTCTTAGTAACAAAAAGTAAGAAAATTACACTAAAAAGTGATCTCTATTCTGAATCACCTGACTTTCAAAAAAAAACCGCCCTTCTGGGGTTTGCTTGGTTTCTGCTACGAATTTCTTTCAAGTTCAAGTTCGAAATCAAGAAAATCAAACCCTGAAAATTTTATAAGTTTTGAAAGACAGACGATGACAGAAAGGGATCCAAGAAGCGGGGATTCACAGAGGGGCATATAAGAAAATTAGAAGAGAAATAAAAATACACACTATTTTTTGTTGCCTCGCTCGATTTTTCACTCTGCGAATTGGTAGTAGCAATCTGTATGCATATATAGAGGCCCAGGCCATAGCTCTCTCTCCCCCTCCGTCTCTGTACCCATTTTTTCCTCTATCTGCCGAATTATGATACAATGTTTCTGCTGGCCAGTGATATATTGACACGTGGTATGTGACTGACATCTGTGGGTGGTTTTGTTCGGATGCAATACGTGGCAGAAACTCATTGGAAAAAATCCTATGTTGACTTGTAATAGGCAGTTAACTTTTGACTTTTGGTATTCAATTACTTATGGTCATTCTACGCCACGGTTTGCCACCGTAAGTGACAACATTAAGCCGCCTCATTGAATTATAATTTATTTTTTTCTCTCTTCTCGCTACTCACGCATCTTTTAATTAAATAATATTACATGTAAATTTAAAAAAAAAATTCTTTTTTAATCACACATATTTAAAAAAATTATTATTCTTCTCATTATAATGTGAAATAATGGAGGCCAAATGAGCTCTAAGATAAGCTCTCACTTTTCGTTTTGTGGACCATGTTTCATACCTAACCACGACCAATGTGGACCATTCGATCTTTATCATCAGCACTAAAATTCTGTGGACCAAAATTCATTGGTATTAATTAAATAAAAATTATTGTAAAAATTAATTTGCTCATTCAAAAAATAAGATAAGATTAATTATTGAATTTTTGCTAATATAACGTTAAAACTTATCTTAATCAATTTAATTTATTGACTAAACTTTTGTCAAAGAATAAAGTAATAAAGCAAACAAACATATATATTACTTTACATTGAATTTATTACCGGATATTCCATCAATAAAAGCTTAAAACATATATTTGCAAAATCAAATCAAGAAATTTTTTATAGATAAATAAATAAATAAAAATTTTAAAAAATAAACACTACATATTGAAAGTCCATCTATAGCGAAATAATTATAGATTAATGATATAGTTTTCTACATGTTGTAATTTTAAAAAGCAAAATGTCTTATTAAATTTAAGCCTCTGTCTGATAGTCATTTTTTTTTTTTTGTCAAAAACCATATTTTGAATACAATTTTTAGAAGAATGTGTGGTCAAAAAATCGAAAATAATTTTGAGCTTACATGCAAAAAATTTTATTGTGTGAATGTGCGGTTAAAAATAAATATATAGAAAAAAGAGTTTTTAAATAATGATTATAAAAAATGAGCTAAATTTGTAAAAAGATTTCTGTCAGATAATAGCCTTTGAATTGTCATCAAAGACAGTGTTTAAATTATAATTTTCATTCACAAAGTGTTGATATTATCAAAGAAAAATGTTATTGATGATATTATTATTTATTTTTTGTAATGAGAGCTTCTTTGTTTTATTATTATTGTTGTTATTATTTTGGTTGTCATTTGTTTTCTCATTGAATAATGAAGTGAAGATTCAACCGTTATTAAACATTTCATTTCATTTCATTTCATTTTTGTGTTATTCTCGAAAAATGTCCCTTAAAATTTATATAAAACTCAAAATGATTTAATCCGTCTATAAAACAACCACTAACAAATTTAAATAATATTAAAATACGAGAAGACAGAAAACATAGATTGACACACCCGTTTGGCCCTTTAAAATTCTTCAATTTAATTTAATTTAATTTTTTCTCTCTCTTATTTTCAACCACACAATTTTCAATAAAATAATATTACACTCAAATCGAAAACTTTTCAACCACACAATTTTCAAAAAAAATAATATTTCCTCCATTATAAATCCAAATAATAGGGGCCAAACGGGTTTCGTCACACATCGGATTCCATTTCTTTATTTATATCAAACTTATCCATACCAACTCCCATCAATTTTTATAATGATATTTGCTACCTTATCTAATCACTCATTAATTAACCTAATAAATTACTTCCCTTCAATTGACGATTACCTACAAAGACAAATGAGGTGGGACCCAGACACGTCCATGTCACCATGACATCAACAAATTTCATTAGAAGATGCTCACATTTCAAAGAAAGAACAGTTTAAAAATATTTGGAAATTTTGTGCTTTTTATCCCCAATCTTTGAATAAAAATATAATAAAACTATCTCAATCCTTCTTTATCATGATTCATCCTCATCACATTTTCAATTACTAGGAAAATTCATCATTCCCACTATTTTGATCATTAAATAATAAATTTATCTTCTCTTTTATAAATAAACGTAAAATAAAGAAATTAAAAAAAATTGTAAATGGAGCCCCATAAATTTTCAAAGTACAAATAAATCGATCTTAAAACAATCAAATGCATATTAACCCACCAAAAAATAAATAAATTCATTTTCTCCAACCGATTCCCATCCCACCCTCGGCCATACTAAACCTCAATGGCTGCAATCACGTCGATGATGGCATCATTACCACCACCAACACCTTAGAAAAATTAATTCAGTAAAAAAATTAAAAAAGAAATGACTAGATAAAAATCAACAGCATAGATCAGTGAATGCTATCAATAGTGATTACATTTGTGAAGATAGTGTTTGATCATAGGTAGAGATGAATTAAGATGGTAGAAGGTAATATTTGGGTGAGTTTGTTTGAAAATAAGCTTTAAGAAATATACATCTTGTGCAGTTTAAATCAAATTTATATTTCCGATTATTAGATGTGAATGAACAATAAAAGCAATTTTAAATATGAATTGATATGTAAATGCAATAAGAATGATTTTATATCTTTAGGAATTAACGTAAGACACAAATTGAAATGCATATTTAATATTTTTATCTATATATTTCATAGAATTTATAAACTAGTACTCATTTATTAATTATTATGTATATGTCCCGTAAGACTCATAATTTTTAAACATGCATTTAAGTTTAAAATACAAATTTATTTTATTTATATATTTATTATTTTTTTTATTTTTTTTTTGGTGTAGTCAAAGTTGAAGCAAAGAAGCGAAGGTTAATAGTGGGGAAGTGATGAATGGGGGATGACAAATTCTGAGCAAGACAATCTATCGTCAATTAATTTACGGCGCCAGTGGTTTCGGACAAAACAAAGGGACAAATGAATAATAATGGTTTTCCTAAACCATAGTAATCACTGATTATGTTGATTTATCTCAGTATCTATAAACCCCTTGTAAACCGGAGTTGGTTCCACTAAAAAATAAATTTAATTTAATTTAAAGTTAATATTTAATTTTATATATATATATATATATATATATATATATATATATATATATAAATTAAATTAAAACTTTCAACCATACATTTCATCAACTTTTATTAAAATCTACTAAAATTTTGATTTTATATAAATCAAACGTAGGCTAAGTAAATTCAAACTACGAAATTCAAAATTCAACTATATTTACGTTCAAATATTTTTGTTGTAAATATAAATAATCAAATCACATCACGGTATTATCTTATATTTCAGGCTCAAACAAATTTGCTATATAAAATATACTACAAAGTATATATTTTCAAAATTTAAATATAAGCCTTTCAAGCACGTAAACATCAATTGGCCATTCTACTACAGAAGTGTGGAAATTTGTAGAGGAGGTCCACAACTTATGGCCTCTCAAGCAAATTGGCCCCTAACTTTTCATTTCATACATGAAATCCTCCACCTTTCACTTTGTTTTATTAGTAATATCAATGAGCGGTTTCCATCCACTTGTAATTACAATGCCGAGAATAGATGGTTGAGTGAGGTGTGTGAAGGTTTGTTACCCGGAAGATTGGAGGTGTGAAGAATCATGTGAGTCAGGCTAAGTTAAGCAATAGACGGGGATTGAGATAGGAGAACACGTGATGGATTATGTCGAAAATTAAAAAATATCTCGTGTTAAAATTTATTATAACCAGCTCAATATAGAACGGAGAACTCTCTGGTGCAATTGGAGTATTTAGAGTCTGTTTGGGAGTGATTTTGAAAATTAATTTTTTGACTGTTAGGAGAAAAGTGGGGTCCATCTGTGAGAGAAGAAGTCAAATATGATAATTGAAATAGTGAAATAATGGTCAAAAAATTAATTTTTCGGATGAAAAAATCGGGCCCAAACAGCCCTTTATACTTTAGCAAAATGTTTCAAAAATTTGAGTGGCATTCCCATAAAAAGCAAATTTCAATAATTGAACTTGAATAAGAGCAGCCCCGGCCCTTGCTTAGGATAAGAAAGTCAAACGTTGCGTCAAGATTAAGCAACGATAAGGCCCCCACTTGATGTGTAATTTTGGCCCCACTTTGACATTATTACACGCTGTCAATAACGTGGATATCACTTAGAAGCCACGCAAAGTAAGCCAGCCGTTATTCTCTGTGATCATCTATTCATCTTTTTGTCTTTCATGGGATTATGAGAGGAATTTTGTTTATTCAGTTCACATTGTATAATTAGATAAAAAGTTGGGAATGAATAAAGTTGTTCATATCATCTACTCATATAGAGATTATATTTTTAGATGAAATAACAAGGGTTTAACTACGTGATCAGTCACCGGCACAAAGTTTTTGGAAGTCTGAACTTCAAAAATATATATTTGTTAGTCACTAAACTTTACGAAATGTGACGTAGAAACTTTTGTAAATCTCAGTGATGGATGGGACTACATTCGTAAAGTTCAGTGACTAACAAAGAAATTTTTAAAGTTCAGTAACCTCAAGAGAACCTAAGAGAAGTTCAGTGACCAATTAGGTGATGTATCAATCTGTATATTTTTTTAGTCTTTCTCTTTCATTTTTTCTATACTCCTATCCCATAATTTTATTCTCTCTAACACCGCCAAACTTGGAAAAAAAGAATAGTCTTTATCCTAGAGTAATCGACAAAGTTGTCGCTGACCTCTCTGAGATCAAAGAGGTAACAATGGTCTATGCAATCAACTATTTTGGAAGAGAACCCCTTGAGCATTGATCACTTCATAGTATAGAATTTTAAAATCCATCCGTATCTTCTGTAAAGAATCTAATAGGCTTCTGGTTCTTATTCAGGTGTGTCTCAAAAGAAAGACGATCGAAGCTAAAGCAGCTCATAGAAATGTCCTATGTTGCCTCTTTAATCTTAGATAGATTAGCATCAAACTTCGTCGGTTACCCAGGCCAAACTTCTTTCTAAATTTGACGGCACTAAAGAGAAAAAAAAATAAAAATAAAAAATTGTGGAGTAGGAATACAGAAGAAAGGAAAAAGAATAATAAGACTAAAAAACATAAAAATTGGTTAATTACCTAATTGGTCACAAACTTTACATAAGGTTTCAGGGGGTCACTGGATTTCAAACGTTTCCCCATTAATCACTAAACTTTACAAAAGTTTTTTCTGTTAGCCACTTGGTGATTGTAAAGTTCAGTGACCAATGAGAAAATTTTTGAAGTTCAATGACCTCTTGAAAATTTAACGTAAAGTTCCGTGACCAATCATGTAATTAACCCAAATAACGACCACAATCGAAAATTTTTTGTGTATTGTCATATATTCTTTCTTGCTGCCTAAGGTTTATTTAGACAAGTAGCCAACATAGCAGTGTCACTTAGCATGTTGAATTTCTATCATCTCCTATAGCGTCAAACATGTTACACATTCAAACTTAAATTCAAATGATACACGTGTCGAAATATGATTGCACAATTTGAAAAATTAAACAATCATTTTTTGATACATCAGTCTATCTATTCACTTATTTTTTATTTATTTATTTTTTTGTATGGTTAAAATTAAAAAGTAGGGAAAAGGGTAGGTGTTATAGCCCTTGTTTGGGCTCTATTTTAATGATATTTTAAATTTTTATTGGCAAATATGTCAAGTTAAATTTGTATTTTTATTTTTTTTCGTATATGGATGATTGAAAATTATGAATACATGATGGTGTTCATCCCTAAACATAGAAAAAAAATCATTCTATTGTTCATCATATTATTGAAGAAATTTAGTTTCGTTTCATAATAAAAAATCCTCTTTTTTTCACTTGTTCACTTTAAAGAATCACTTTACTTTATTCTTCAAGATACCATGCATATGTATGTTTATTTAACCTCTACCGAGAAAAAAGAGAAACTGAGTGACAGATGACTATGAATTCTTTAATTAAAAAATGATTAGTTAATCTCATCCAAATTGAAATAGGATAAACCACATTGGAATAAGATAATAAATTTTGGTTACTTAATGCTTATATCTATTCTCTTTCTCCTTCATGCGTAGAGACAATTGATTGCCAAGATTGCCCCCCAGGGCACATCCAAGTTGGCGGAACAATCACATTGGGGGGCTCTGGAACCAAGTGTGAGGAGTTCGATTCCTGGTTGGAGCAGCCAAGTGATGTAATAACCAGAGGAAGGGTTGGAGCAGCCAAGTGATGTAATAACCATGGAGGAGGGTCCCTTTGGGGAAGGAGTAAAAGCCATGTGGGAACCTGGGAACCAATAAGGGCACAACCTGCGATTTACCTCCACTAGTCACTGAGGGGCCGGGGGCTAGAGGTCCAGGATTTAGTCCGGCTAAGCTGGGACACCTGGGTTATCAAAAAAAAAAAAAAATTGATTGCCAAGATTACACATTTTAGTTCCAATTGTCGTTGACTTTAACAATTGTCAACCCTTTTAAATTTTAAAAAAATACCGGCACAAACTAGGTGTTGCATCAACCGCCACACCAGTTATTTATAATTTATAGTCAACGAATGGTGGTTGATGACCTGAATCATGGAGTTCTTCATAAATTTTAGTCAAAACCCTGCAAGCAATTTATGGTTTAAAAAGAAAAAAATAAAAATTATAAGCAATATAGCACCACCAATAAAGAAAAAAAACACCAGTCCAATAATGTTTTGACCAGTGCATCCAGTGACAATGTCTAACTAAATGGCGAATTTATTCATTTTTTCCTTGGTTTCTTGAGATCAGTTTTGACATTAGACGTGTTCTTTTTCCTGTATCGAGTAGATGTTGAAGGTGTGAATTTTCTTCAATGAGCCAAGTGATTCATGAATAGGATTTTGCCAAACGACCCGCACGGTTGACCCAACGGGGGACCGCATCCTCACATACCAAGGTGGGTCCCACCAGAGCCAGTCCTGCTAGGAGGCATATGAGGTCTGTGCCTCAGGCCCAAAACTACAGGGGCCTCATTTTGGGCCAATTTTTTTTAATTAATTAATTTATATATATCAGATGAATTGAATCTTTCAATCGTTTTTCCCTAGCCTCATTCGAAGTTCATTTCCTCTTCTCCAATCTCCACTCTTTGACAAATTACACGAGATCTCGACAAACCACAAAACAGTTTCAAACCTAACGCTCGACTCGCAGGCTGTATATTCAGATTCTTCATAATACTTTGATTCATATGTATGGTTCTTGTAAGAAGGTTGTTTATGCGTATAAGGTGTTCTATAAAATGTCATTTAAAACGGTTGTTTCTTGGAATTCGATTATTTCAACTTATGTAGAGAGCTCAAAGTTTTTCTATTCAGTTGAGGTTTTTGTCAAGATGCTAGATAGAGGATAGTGATTTTGAGCAGGATGAAACAACGGTGATGATTGTACTTTCCGTTTGTGCAGAGCTTGGTAACTTGAGTATAGGAAAATGGGTGGGTCGCTGGGTCCATTCTCATGTTATTGAGAAAGGTATGGTTTTGAATTGTCAATTGGGTACTACCCTTGTTGATATGTATGAAAAAGTATGGTTTTGAATTGTCAATCACAATAAATTTGTTGATTAACAATGCTGTAAAATGAGATTTTGTTAATTGTTACTACCGAAATTCAAAGTTTCTTATTTACTACCAACTTTGAGTAATTGATTTATTATATCGAAGTTATGATAGTTATTTGGAAACATGAAGGAAAGAGGAAATAAAAACTAGTTAAATGAAAGAAGGATAGGAAGTACGTCTGGAAGCATATTTGATACGTGGAATGGATTATGGAGTAGAGTTATAGATGAAATTTGAGTTAAATGTTTATGCAATATAATTATTAATTTGTAATTGTATTAGTGTTTGATCATAAATTTTTATTTCAGACTTGCGAGTTATGACGGTGGAATTCTCAAGGGTGGAATTCCATAATTTTTATCAAAATTTTACTTTCGAGGTAAGCAATGGCTTGCCTAACATGTTATTGAATTTATTGAAACTGTTTGAAGCCTAGTTGGCTTATATAATTGTAGTCTGGTTGGCTTATATGATTGATTATTGTATTGATCAATTGCACAGGCGCACTTAATAACTATATTGAAAACTCTAATTATAAGATGATTGAGATATTTTGTAATTGTTTTTTAGATTAATCATTGGACATTAGATATTGACTCATACATTATGCCTCATAAATATGAATCTGGTGCTCAAAAGAGAAAAAGGAAATGAAATAAATTGCATTAATTCAAAGTCAAAGCAACAATGCGATTGCTTTGTTTTAATGTTGAGTTCTAAGTTAGCAATAGATTATATAACACACCGTTATATTTTACATTTATGTTGATTTTGGAGCCTCATTTATGGATTTCGCCTCGGACCCCGACAATCATAAGATCGGCCCTAGGTCCCACCTGAATTTAAAATCCGACCCGCCTTTATTGTGTGTGTGCAGTCATGCCCACAGGCACTATAGCTCAGTCCTCATGAATATTGTCACTTAAAGATGAACATTTGTTTCTCGTGGCAAAAATTTTCTCTGATACACGAAGGCAGATAAAGAAGGATATATGATTTCAATGAAATTTTTGTACAGCAATAGACTATGGCATTCCTCGTAAGATAATGCCTAGCAGGGTTATAGATGCAAGAGCAAATTTGCTATGTTGTGTCTAAATAAGCTCTATCTTAAAAGAAATAGGAAAAACTCGGTAAGATAATGCCTAGCAGGATGGGAAAGTCAAGCTGTCATCCCCTGTAATTTACTAGAACCACTTCACAAATCCTTTCGCCATTCAAAAATAAATTCTGTTATCGTACCAGATCTTTATAAGGAAAAAGAAATATAAAAAACTCTCCAGAGTTCTGAATTTACAAATATCTACTTCAACAATCAACTTTAATATTAAGATGAAACTGTAGCTCATATCAAATGTTAAAGGATCTTGGTGGTGCTCTGTAATTGTCATACGCATTCTGAGCTGCCTCACATTTCTTTTGAATATCGTTGCACATTTTCACCGAAGCCTCGGAGAACTTAGTCAGCCAGTCAAGAACCTTAGTCAAACTTGTTTGTATGCCACTTAAATTTGACACTCGATCATCACTTTGCTCCTCATCTTTACTGTGTTTACTCTCTGACTCTTCATTGTTTTGCAAATCCTCCGTGGTTGCCTTTTCCTGGGATTCTTCTTGCTGGTGTCTAACTGAATGTAGCAGATCAGATAGAAAACCTTTGATTGCATCACTAACTTCTTCGGATGGCAAATATTTGATTCCGGCTGACCAGTCCCGACAGAGGACAAATATAGGTGGGGCCAGAACTCGGCGAGGGGAGAATGCTCTTCGGCCTTTTTGTCGCTCGCGTGGTTGCAAAATGCAGTTCTGTAGCCAGCTGTTGAGTGCTTCCACGTAAGATGTATAGCTGTTGATCCAATCAGCAAAACTCAGACCAAAATACTCCACCTCATCCAGCAGCTGATTTATAATCTGCCTGTGTGTTTTCCCATGAACAATTCCCACGGTAGTTTTTGCATGATAAGCTAACGAGATGGTTATATACTGGTTATGATGGCATTTGAGCATGGCTTTCCACATCCGGGCCAATCTACACAAAATTCAGTAGATTTACACAGGATTGATCATTGACACTAGATCGCGTTTGGTATGAAGTACTTGATAGAATTAAGCAATACTATAAAAAGGATTTTAACTTCTTTCCTCTGTTAATACCATCTAGTGCAGTCCAATCCACCTAGCTAAATGAGTGGTTAAAAAGGAAGGAATATTTTTAGTTTACGTGTAAATTATTTTATAGAAGAATATGCGGTTGAAAATGAATTTTTTGGGAAAATGGGGGCCAAACATAGGCTAAAAGTTTTCAGGGTTTCACGAAATAGAAATTTTTCTCACCCTTGAATAAGTTCCATAATTTGAGGGAGCAACTCTTCATCCCGCATTTTCTCTATTCGCTTTGATATTGAATCAACAGCATGAAGTGCAACTCTAATTCGTGAATGCAGATCTTTCACCACTGCCCGAGTTTTGTCAATTGTTTGAGGACTAAGATCCTTGGCAAATTGGTGTTGAAGCTGGTTGCACTTGCGATCATATTCCTTCCGGATAGACTCGCTGGCCTAAATAAGGCAAAAGAAACAGACTGAAATTAGTTGACATTATAATGTAGAATAAAAAGGGGAACACATCACTAAGGCTACTAGCATTGAGGGTTCAGAACTCTTCTAATCAAGTTCATATGTAAAATTATGGCCAATTTAGTCTGCAGGTGTAACTGTACTAAAATTCGTTGTGGCTTAAAAATGGACACACATCAAGGAAGCCAATAATTATTAGCAGCATCCAATAAGTAGTAACCCCTTGATAATGACCAACAACAAAATAAGTCTTATTCCCAATAACTTGGATAGGCAGCCACATGAATCATTTTCCCTGGCTCCATCACAATTCTACCGAAAGCTCCAAAAAGTAAAATGTTTTGCCAGCACATCGAATTATGGTACTTATGTTATTCTGCTAGGAATGTATCCATAGGCACAACACATTCCTCAACAGCCATTGTTCCTCTAATTTATTCATAATTGGTGCCATCTAAGATAATAACGTTATAATCCATTCCATTTTATTCTGATTTTGCCAGCTTCGTTGTGATTTCCCATTTGGTTGGCAAAGCAGCTTGAAAATGCTTTAAGATTTAGGTAGTCAACTCCAGCATATTGGCAACATTACAACCATAAATTTCACAGCTGCCACAACAGTCATGAATCTTTTTCACATTTGAAATTCTGTAGCGAATCTTAAAAATAGATTTCTAACATCTCAAAAATGTTTTCACAACTTACAGTGTAAGTTCATCCATCAATTTTTTCAGAGTAAGCCAATTTGTTGTTAATTAGGCGAAATGAAACCTACCCCCTGCCCCCAGACAAAAAATAAGAGCTCATATGATTATACCCTCCTGATTTTGTACTGGGAACCAGAATGGTCAATATTCAAAGTAACTCTGAATGGAAACATGAAAGTTTGTGAACAATCAATATAAATACAAAGGATGACCTAGGCATTAAAGATCTATTAATTGACATTAAGTGATATTCTACATGTTGCATTTGACCTCTTTAATCTTAGTTCATTTTAGAAACCTAATAATATAACAACCTAAGGACATGCACCACTCTTATTTTTCATGCCATTTCATTGAGGTTTATATGCAAGATTTTCATTGCATCAGGCTTGAAAAATTCTATGGCTCCGATCTTTAGTATTGTCTTATTTATTACCTGTGTCTACTATTTAACTATTTAAGCAGAATACTATCACCCATTTTTACAGAAATGAAGAGAAACCTCAAAAAATGAAGAAAGGGTGGAAAGTAAGGAAGACACTATATTTCCAAGCTGATGCTTTTGCTCGAAATGTCTGCTGATATTTTCATGATTCTCTATAAGTTAGTGATATTAATGATACAAACACTTGTCCCTCTCTGCTGATCTCCTTCATCACCAAACTCTCCACAGATATGTCAACATAAACCAAATATAGAAAAGCACGTGCATTTAATTTCACTGTTGCAACAATTTGCATCAAGTACCTTCACTTCATCATATAGCTTTCTCTCCCACGCATAAAGCCTCTCCAGTGTAGAAGAGTGACTTCCAGAAATCATGCAGAACTCTTCAATAAAATCACTTCCACTGTCATCATTGTCATCCTTTGTGGTAAGAGGATTCCTAGATGAGGATGACCCTGATGATGTTGTCCTTTTCCAAGTTATAACCTTGGTCACATGTTCCAATCCTGCACATTTTCTACATATGAAAATTTGACAGAAATGAAGGCTTATAATGTTAGGTTTCAACTCCATGGAACAATTCTCAACACTTCAGCAACTTGCGTGAGAGTCAGTGTCCTATCTTTAATTCCTGTTAGTTTTCCAAATTCCAGATAAAAGAAAATCAAGTAGAAGAAATGTTGTAGCAAAACTGATAATATCCAATCTTTTCCAGAACATGTATGAACAAATGCATAAAATTAAATGTTGATCAAGATACAAATTAAAAGTACTGCATCTCATCGAGACAAAACAGCTAAGTTGTATATATAATTTAATCGTAAAAATCTAAATCAAACCCTCCCTAAAATGTTCAAGCTAATGAGAATCAATGAAATTATTAAAAAATTGCCTATGGTGCTAGGGTACAAGCTGTTACATACCATCAGGAACATTTGTACGTCTTCCTCGGCAACAAGCAGCTCGAAAAGAGGCTAAATAAACAGAAGATGATGAATTACCTGCAAATAATGACATTAGGGTTCCAAACCAGAACACCAGAACTTATTAGTTGACAACATAGAAATATATTTCAATGAACTAAGGAAATTATCAAAATTTTCTCATTATAAAGATCAAGAAATTATTACCTTTTGCCTCATATCCTATACTGATTTTGCTGCACTCAAGCAACCTTGATACCTCTTTCCCTGATTCAGATGCTCTAAAGAACCGGTTGTCAATATCCTTTATGCTAGAGAGAAAATCTTTAGCCCTATGTGTTATATACTCCGAAGGATCTTCTATTTCAGCACATATATCCTTCTCTACTGCAAATTTTTTCATCTTCAAACTATACTGTTCTAATGGAACCTTCCCCGCCACACTTCCCGCTAATCCATATACTTTTATCTCATTGTTCACATCTTTCACTTCACCATCAACTCTTTGATGACCACTGCTTTCATTCTTTTCACATGTAGCGGAATTTGAATTGCTCACAACCAATTTACTATGTCCATTTCTCCGAGTCTCTGATTTTGGTGCCATAGGCCCATCCTGAATCCCACTGGTGTTATCCAAATCAACACCTTTCTCACCAAAATCCCCATACATTCTCACATCGTCAAAGTTCAAATTCAAGCCATTCTGCCCCGCTAATCTAAAGCTCTCATTTTCATCAGCAGGATCAAAAAAATCCCAAGATGATCCCAACTCAGGAGGTGGAGGTGGAGGTGGAGGCATTGAAAATTCAATCTCCTCGATATAAGTATTCCTAGGAGGTGGACTCACTCTAACAGTCAAAGCACTAGCTCCACCTGACCTCATGTAACTAACTCTAGCTGTAGGTGGTGATAAAGGGCTCCCATTGAGCACTGGAGAATCTAAAGCACCAGCAATGTGCGATGAGGAGTGCGACAGATATGACGAGTGTGATGGAGTTTTATCATTTTCAGTGGCTGAAGCTGATAGAGCGGACTCTATCAAGACTTCAGCCTCAGCATATCGCCTCAGAGCAATGCCTATGTTCCTTAGAGACTGAACATATGAAACTTGCGCAGCTGCTAAACCATATCTTGAATCAATGGCTTGCTTGATGAATCTTTTCCTTTCTCTACACAGCCTCAGAGCATCACTCCTCTCAGATTTTGAATTTGTTGCGCCCATTTCACACTCAAAATTAAGAAACCCACTTCATTAATTAACCACTATTGCGTTCATGAACTTAGCTGCATTCAAAATTCCTCACCGTATAAATAATTTTTCCCCCCCCTAAAACCTTTGAAAACCCTGTTCATGAAATTAACCCCCCTCTCTATTTCACAATCAAAAGCTAACAGCCCATAATTCAGCCAAAAAAAAAAAAAACTAATAATAATAAATAAATAAATGCAATAAAAATCTCTTTTCTTCAATAATCATAAACTCTCTCAAAATCAAAGCAAACCCAAATAAAAAAATAAAAAATAAAAAAAAGAGGGCAAAAACCCTTTTCAGACGAGAGAAAGGAGAGGTTTTCCGAAGAAAACAGAAAACCCACTTGAGTTTAGTCTATCACTGCACTGAGATTCAACACTAAGAAAAACAGATGCAAATGACAACAAACTCTTTTGTTAACGGGTTTTATTTCGACTCAGATAAAGATTAGAGGACCCTGCTCTGTTTTTTTCATGAAAATGGCAAAGATGATTCAGAAGAATGCAAACAGATGAGTAGTTGAGGATGTCATAAATAAATCTTCGCCTCAATAAAAAATAAAAAGAAAACCCGAATCGATTGGAAAATTGGGTTACAGTCAACCCATGCACAATTCTTGTCCCTTGTTTAGAGTCCAAAAGCCGATTTCTTTTAGCGCAAAAAGAGAAAGAATGGGGCAGTGCTGAAATGATAAACAAAAAAAAAAAAAGGAGAAGAAGATATGCATACAGTTCATTCGCACTGAGGAAGGGCATCGGAATGTGTGTGAATGATGCTCCACATTCACTCCCGTTCTAATCTCTTTAATCAGAGAGAAAACACACCATTTTCTTGCCCATAATTTCTATCTAATTTGCTCTGATAATTACCTGAAAATAAATATATTTTCTTTTTATAAGCATCAACAAATATCATAATTTATGAGACCACAACTTTTATTCCTGGCAACACGTTTTAATTGTGATTAAAGTTATTAATTTTTCTTCATTATAGCACTTTATGTGTCTAAAAAATTTTCATATCGTTCTTATTCTCAAACTTTTCATTAGTTAATACATTTTATATTTGATAACAGTTTTATATTCAAAAGCTTATTGAAATAGCGTAAAACAACTTATTTTTCATCATATTTTTATAAAAGATAAACAAATAAAAAGTGAAGAAAATATTTTTTCCTCGTTTCAAAGTATGAAAACAAAATATTTTAATATAAATCACCAACTAGAACGACGTATACTAATTAATGGAAGGTTAAAGATAAGAATTCGACGGGAAAAAGTTGAAAAATCAATTACTACAATAAACAAAGATTGAAGAGATTAACTGTAATTAAAATATAATGTAACAAATAAAAGTTGTAGGGTCAATCTAACAATCCTTAAGAGAAATGTGCAGATGACAGAAATGCCCCAGGTTTTCCAAAAGGAACGTTTCGTAACGGCTCCTTGTGGTCGTGGGGAGTGGGTTTGGCAAAGTGGATTATTAAGAGTTAATTCATTATTAATATTTTATTGGGCTATCAAATGGTAAAGCATGTTTGGCTAAAAAAAATGGTGAAAATTTCTGAATTTCTACTTATTTACTAGGTAGACTGTATGACAAGAAATAAACTATTAAACAAGATTGCTCGATTCAACAAATCTATTTAATTTTAGAATAATTCATAAATTTATTAATCAATAAATTGATGTATCACGTCACTAGATGATATATTAAATGAAATGTGAAATTAAATTAGTCATTTAATTTTATTTATCAGTTAATATCACATAGTGCTACCTAAATTGGAGTTGCGACCCAATAAGGCTAAATAGTATCACTATTCTTCTTCTTAATAAACCCTTGTTTGGTGGCCATTATTTCCATTTTAAAGAGTTTTAAATTTTTTTTTTTTTTTTTTTTGGAGAATGGATGGTTAAAAAATGAAAATAAAAAAAATTAATTTGGGCGTAGAATATTTTATTGTATAAATGTGTAGTTAAAAATGATCCTATAAAAAAAATGAATTTTAAAACAACGGGAATGAAACAAGGTCTAATTGTGCTTAGTGCATCATTTCTTATGATATAATATCAAACTATCACAAATAAGAAAAAGGAATAATACTGTATAATACAAATGGTGTTAAACACCAATTTAGGTGCTATTAAATGGGTCATAAATAATCTGTATTTAATTAAACTTATAATTTAGTATCATATAAATTAGTGTTAAACGTCACTTGTGTTAAATAATATTACTTAAAAAAGGTATACATAGTACTATTTAATCATATTCAATATTAAGTGCCTGTTTGAGCCTATTTTTAACTAATAATGTATTTTGAAATAGTAGAACGATGAATAAATTATAGTAAAAATATTAGATTTACGTGTAGTAGTATTTAACTAAAGAATATGTGATTGAAAAGAATGGAATGAAAAATGTATTTTGAAAATAATGAAAATCAAATAAGTGCAAAAATCTTTTTCATAATTTATTTACCTTCAATGTTTCAAAAATCAATCTGATCATTGATCCAAAAAAGGAAGGTGTCAAAAGATTGATACATGGTCTAATTGTGATCAAGCTGGTGATTTTCTAAAAATTAAAAAAATACATTTATACATTTACAAAAATTAAAGAATATACATTAAAAACTTAAAAAAAATATACATTTAAATGGGTTGAACCGGCTAAACCGAAAATGAGACACGGATTTTTCAAAAATCGATTGATTTAAGGAATTTGGAGAGAATTTTTAATTATAAATTTTATAAATCTAATCTTACCAATTTTAGTCTCGATTTCTAATTAAATTGATCGAGCTAGTCTAATTTTTAAAACGTTGTTTACCACTCAACGGAATGTAGGGTGTTGACATCGAAAAATGTACCTTCAATGGGGTCAACAGATCCCGAGACCTTTTACGTCCAAGCAAGCCATATTCTTGCACACTAGGACAAACCGTTAGCCACATGTTACCTTCTCCAGTGGGGTGGAGCCGATCACGCGCATTCCAATGATCAAGTCAGTTTTGAGAAGAAATATAAAGTGTGGAATAGCTTTTAACGTGAGCTTCCAATGTAAAAAATGGTCGGTATTGGGAGTAAATAAACAATGTAAAGAGTGAAGTTGTAGTACAAAGTCTAAATTACATTATCTTTGGAATGACACAAAGTGTGAGTTTTTATAGTAAAAGATGGTGAGTAAGAACCGTCAAATGAGAAGACACATGGCCTCATCCATGTGTGTATAACTTCTCATCATGGATATCAATCAATCTCTAACTATTATTGCTAGTACCAACTCTTTTTCCATAATTTGTAGCCCGTGACAGTAGACTTGAAGGTTGGCTATGGCAGGGTGACAGGGAATTGTCACATCAGTCACCTTAATAGATCTGTTTCTAAAGATTTCCTGCCAAGCCCGTCCTCTGCCTGAGAGGCTCAGCCTTAAGAGCTTAGCCTCAACGTGGGTTCAATCACCACATAAGTTAGTTCTAAGTGGGGTCCGTTCGGCCAGATTTTTGCCATGTGGCTTGCGTACGTGGGGCTGACAATGGATGATGTAAAAGTCATAACATAGAGGATTCCCCTTTATTCTTAAAATTGTTTGTTCTTTTAAGGTTGGCACTCATCGATTTGAATATTCAACCATATCTTCCTCCCACTTTTAAATTTAATCAAGGCTTTACGTGTCTTTGATGGCGGTCGTAGAGGATTTTGCAAGCTTTGTGAAAAGTGTTATTTTCAAAGAATTTGTGGTTAAAAATTCATGAAAAAAATATTGATACACGTTTAAAATTATTTTATTGAGAGTACATATGTTTGAAAATAAATTTATTATTGATACACGTTTAAAATTATTATATCAAGAGAATATGTGTTTAAAAATAAGTTTTAAAAAAAAAGTTAATGTTAAAAAATTTGTATCAAACATGAACTAATTGTGCACCACATTATGCTACCATGAAATGTCACCGTTAACTGTTTCATTTAGCCAAAATTTTGATTTTTAGTAGTTTTTATAAAAGTTGATAAAATGTATAGTTGAAAAATTATTTTGATAAGAATTGTGAATTCTATGAAATGTGAGATCGAAAAGAGATTGAAGTAAAAAAGAAAAAAAAAAATTAGAAAATGGGACATTCCAAGTTATAGAAAAGTGTAGTTTTTAAAAAGTGTAATTAGCACAAAACGTCTCTACCTTTTATTTTTTAGTATTTTTGTCCCTACGTTTCTCCTTTCTTTGTGCTGAACGTCCTTTTCACCAAATTTTAACATAAAATGACCAACATACCCTCTTATTTAAATAAAACAAAAAAAGAAAAGAAAAATAAAAAATAAATTGAAATTATAGGCCCAAACTTTTTAAAAAGTGTAAATAACCCACAAAAATACTCCACCTTCTTCCTGCACCTCACCTCACCCCCACACCCACTCCACCCCATTGCCAGCCAGCCGGTCATTTTCAACCACCTTTCAGACACTAAAATCATTGGATATTGATATCAATGGAAAGCCCTTTACCTTCTCCACAATTACCACTCAACAACTCCCTACAATTGGAGCAAAGACATCAGACAAAGCAGCAATTAAAGATGAAAAATTCCCGTTGTGCATCCGAACGTGATTAAAGTTGAATCCAGCATTTGGGTTGTAAATTGGCTCAATTGTTTGTTGAACCATGGATTTTCCATCATCAATTGAGGTTCTAATTGTTGAATTGAACATTTGGAGCACCATAGATTCATCAAATTCTTTGGTCTCGAATTTTTCGCATAACGTCTGATGTTCATCCACGAATTCAACTTGTTCTAGACGAAATTGGCTTTGACCCATGGTCGGGCAAGGTGAATCAAAGGGAGACGAGGTTAGCCCATGTGGTCCGAGACCATGTGTTGACTGGACGGAGCTGGAATCTGTAATATTCAACTGGTGAAGCGGGTTCGTGATTGGCGGTACTTCTAGAATAAATTCATATTGCTAAAGTGACGTTTGGGTGAATTGAGACCATGGTTATAATCAATTGGGTGTGAGCAATTGTTTGATGGGGGTTCGAGATCTAGGTGGCGGCCAGAAGAGGAGATTCTGGCAGTTTTCAGATTTTCTAGTAGCTGACTTTGAGGGCTAATTCCAGCAAAATTAGTTGGTGTTATGGAGAGTTGTTGGGTGGTAATTGTGGAGGAGTTTAAGGGTTTTTCGTTAATGTCAATATCCAGCGATTTTGATGGCCAAAAGGTGGCTGAAAATGGCCATTTTCAGCTCAGCAGGCGATGGTGGGGTGAGGTGCGGGAAGAAGGTGAAGTTATTTTGTGGGTTATTTGCACTTTTTAAAAAGTTTGAGATTATAGTTGCAATTTATTTTTTATTTTTTTGTTATATTTAAATAGGAGAATATATTGATCATTTTATGTTAAAAACTGGGGAAAACGATGTTCAGCGCAAAAAAGATGAAAGGTAGTGGCAAAAATGTCAAAAAAATGAAAGGTATGAACGTTTTCCACGATAAATTTAAAAGGTATAGACATTTTGTGCCTATTACCCTTTTTAAAAATAACAAAGTAGACAGTTAGGTTTTGAAGTCTGGACTTCAATTTTGAAACAAATAATAACAAATTGTGCAATCAAACAAAATAATTAGTGCATAACCCTTACCCTTTGATTGATGGTATTTGAAATCATCACATGTAGATTCACTACACTTAACTGTTGCTCAAGAAGCATGTTATGACTTTTAAAAAGTTAAATGGAGTTTTTGAGATTCCAAACACTTGTAACGTGATCTCCTCCAAAAATATTTTTGAAATAGAAAGTTATTTCAAAAATTATGTTCCAAACAAAAGTGAAAAAAGTAATTTTCTTAAAAAGC